ATAGACTGAGTAAACCAATAATCATGAGGAACAAAGGTAAAGGCCATAAGAAAAGTGTTTTAAAATAAATTACTGAAAGAAAAAAAAATAAGTTGAAGCAGCGGTATCTGATGAAGAAGGTAGGAGCCTTAAACTAGATATCATTGTAAGGGGCAGAACAAAGAGCCTTCTATCCTGCTGACATTTTGATACTTGCAAACACCAAAGTCAAATGGGGGGCAGAAGTGAGATCAGAAGCTGGAAAGTAGGGGAGTGCAATCAATTTGTCAATTCTTGTCATTCGCAGTAGTTACATTCTATAAATTCATCACGCATACTGAATTAGTAAATACTGAGCCATAGCTTCTAAGGAAAGCACAGGGTTTGATTGAGAGAGAGAGAGAGAGAGAGAGAGAGAGAGAGAGAGAGAGTTGTGTTTCAATTCCTCTGGCTGCTATAATAAAATGCTACAGATTGGATAGTTTAAAACAACAAAAAAATAATTTACCGCAGTTCTAAAGGCTAGAAGTCCAAAATCAAGGTGTCAACAGGTCCCTCTGGTTGCACACTTCTTATATTTTTACTTGGTGGGAGGGGAGGGGCTAGGGAGCTCTATGGAATCTCTTTATTTTTAGGATAGCACTAATCTTATTTATGAAGAATTCACCCTCATGCTTTAAGCACCCACAAAGGCCCCACCTCCTGATACTATCACATTAAGCAAAAGATTTCAACATATGGATTTGCAGGGGATACAAACATTCAAATAATAGCATCTTGAGTCATTAACATTGAACTCATGGCCAAGGGCACTAAACTGAGGCCCAAATGAACCTTATCTAGCACACGTACTTTCTCAGTAAGAGGCATCACAGCCTGCTTGTGTATCGGAAGATAGATGGAACTTCAGCAGTACACTTGGAGGCCATTTCATACAGTGAAATCACCAACAAAAGGCACAAAAAATGCAAAAGGACACTACATAGGCTGCAAAAAGGATACATTTACAATGGGAGAGCTGAAATAAGAATGGAGAGCATAGATTTGATCTTATCAGGGAGTATGGGCTTTTGGTAACTCAAATTTTTCAGTTCTGCACATTTCTGTGAATGATCATGAAAGCTTCTCCAGTTTTGAGTTTACAGTTACAAATAAATTTTAGAGGGTATGTGAATTTACAAATACCGAATCAGTAAATAAGATGGATCAACTCTTAAGTGTTGATTTTCACAGGTCCTTCTCACACAGTCTCATAAATCATATTCCTGAGTGCTGATATTCATACTTATGCCCCCCTGCCCCCAAAAAAGTAGAATTCTCTTTGGAAGACCCAAGTGGAGTTTCTGGGGTAAAATGGGGCAACTATTCTTGGCATTACCATCCTAGAGCAAGGACCTCACACAAACACATACAAAATCTAGTACTACCTCCAATTGAATGTCAATGTCCCATTTGCACAACCTTTAGTGATGCCTGCCTTTTGAGCTCCATGCTGCTTGCTTTTTGAATGAATTGTTGGTAGTACTGAAGGGGTCAACCTATTCCCTACATGGCAAAATGCTTCTAGAAGGCATGAGATGAGTTTGAGAACAGCTAAATGAGAAACAGGAACCACTATATATGTCAGAGGACAGTATGGCCAGCTTAGGATGGGGAAGGCAGTGGTTTCACATTCATTCTGGCATTCCTACTTCACTGCTCGAGTATGTAGAATAAACTTTGTCCACAATTTGGACACATAAAATCAGTGATTGTGAAAGACTAGTGAGCCGGGGGAAATGGTGGCTGGGTAAAGGAAGGGAGAGGAATCTCTCAGGAAAACCACAAACATGGATTGCATGTGTTTGAGAACAAAAATAGAAATAGGTTATTACAAGAATCAACGTTCAGAATCAAGGATAGAGGGCTGTGGTCACAATACAAGTCAAGATCATATTAGTTGAAATTATCAATAATACAAAGATGTTTGAATACAATTACTTGAATAAGGTCTGGACTCATTTTATCAATCTTGAAACAGCAATTTTTGGTTATTGGTCATGGGCAGCTTTTCTCTGATAGAGCTTCATATGAGGTCTAACATTCTGGGTTCCAGCCTCATCAATTAATCCCTCTCTCATTGCCTTATTAAGACCTGTGCAAAAGAGCTTCAGTTTTTTTCTCCCCAAAATGAATCAACTTTTCCCGTTTCTGATATTCAACTTTAAAAACATTATCTATAATTTATTTTTACTTTTATCACCAAACTTCTCAAGTAGCCAACATATCAAATTCTGTTAATTCCCTCCATGACCCTTTGCAATCTCTCTCTATTCTCTGCCATTTTTAGGAACCTTTGGCTCCTCAATACAAATATCTTTTTTTTGAGTTTCCATTCTAAAAGGCTTAACTCTAATAGCTACACTACACTTTGCTCTACTTAATTCAAACCAATGACATATCATTATCTGGGTCCCCCCCTCAACTTTAAAATTTATTAAAAATATTTTTTATTGGTTTCAGAAAGAAAGGGAGAAGGAGAAAGAGATAGAAATATCAATGATAACAGAGAATCAGTGATCAGCTGCCTCCTGCACGACTCCTCCTAGGGAGAGAGCCTGCAATCAGGGCATGTGCCCCACACCAGGAATCGAACTAGGATCTCCTACTTCATAGGTCAACACTCAACCACTGACCCACACTGGCCAGGCTCCCCCTACCTTTTAGACTATCATTTACCCCTTCCCTGCATAGTTTTTTACACTTCGCACAATTAGTAGAGCTTCCCTGAGATATCATTTATAGTTCTTTCTAGTTTATTCTTTATAAATTCCCCTTCAGAGATTTCTTCCACATGCAAGCGTTTAAAGGCACTCTATGCCGAGAAATCTCTCATCTGTAGACTTTTCTATTTCCCCAGCTCTTTCTGGCTATTTTCATCGCACTTTTTGGTTAATGTTCACTGTTTTCCTTTTGTCACCACACATCCACCACTCAACACAGAAATCTGTCTTCTTTTCGAACTCACAAATGAACTTGTTATTGCTAAATAACTAGACTTCTGGGTTTTTCATCTAATACACTTTCAGCCCTTATTTTACTGGACAATTCATCAGCAATATCACATTGACATTATTTTCTCCTTTGCTTTGTACAACATTTTTCTTTCGCACTTTTTTCCTACTTTGCTTTCCCCCTACTGCTTAGATTTTTCTGGGTTTCCTCTGCTAGATCTTATTTCCCTGCCTGTGCCTGGTCTTCAACTGTGCCCTCCCCCTTACCTGACCTACTGTTTCTTTACACACGACAGTGCTTTAAATATAAATGTCTGTCTTAGGACCTGAGCTCTCTTCAGCATTTGAATCAGATATCCAAATATTTACTGCATATATATTTACTTGAACATGAGGGAAAACTCTGAGGATTAAATAACACATTCAACATGGCCAACATAGACTTCTTCACCTTTTCCCCAGGCCTGCTCTTCCTCATGTGTTGCCCTATCTCTATCTACTTGCTTCCCCACCTTCGTAAAAGGCTCCATCCCCTCTTTTCTAGGGCATATCTTAGGATATCTCATTAATCCATATTAATATATTTAAGTCAATATATTATTCCAATTTTACTGATGACAAAACTGAGGCCCAAAAATGTTAAGTAACTTGCCAATACAACATCACCAGAAAGTGGCTGAGATAGACTGGAATTTAGCTATTACATCCCACATTTCTTTTATGAATTTCTACTCCAGACACTAAGTCCAGTTCAAATGTGCCTTCTTACTGAAGCCCTCTCTGATCACCCCAGCCAAAAATGACCACAGAAGCTTCAACCTGATTTATTTAATTTTAAGATTCCAATTTATATTACATGGTGTTGTGTATTTCCCTTCAAACTTATAGCAGACTTTGTGTTTCTTAAAGGACAGAACCAACTCCTGTCAAATGGGAAATATTCTTTCTATTGTGGAAAAGTTTAGTTGTTCAATTTGCAAGACTAGAAAAGCTTCAAGTTCTGTATTTACCCTTAAGCTGCACAACAAGTTTCTCTATTAAAATTAAAAAGACAGTATTGATATTTTCCAAAAAGTTTTATTCTTCTTAGTGATTTATATTCTGCTTCAGTTCCTTGATACCAAGTATATAGAGTGTCATAGAACTTCTAACACATTCTTAATTTGGATTATTTATACCAGTGCTTTGGGAATTAAAGAAAGCATAATAGAGAAGTGAGAAAAAGTATTAGTCAAATAATGTCACCCAAATAAAAAACACTAATACTAAAACCCATCTGAAAGTATGTAATGCCGTGGCCCTATCTAGCACTATATAAAACCAAAAACTTGAAGCAAGGCAAAAATGACTTGACAATAATCCTTTGTAAGGCAATAGCAAGCATTTTAGAACACAAAGATGTTAGTTACATCAATCAATAGAAAGCCTTAATTGTATTTGGAGAAAGTTTCTAAGCTTCCAGCCAAATGAACAGATACAATAAAATTTTTGAGGATGCAGCATCATAAAGTGTATAGTGGTCATTACTTTGCAGTTTCAGACAGTGTTAATTATTTGTCTGAGCACAGAGTTCACAGAGCAGAAGTAAATTTGCTATATGTTTTTGTAAAAGTAATCATGGCCAGGCAACAAAAGCCTGATTCAAGTAAATCTTTTCTCAGACGTAAAATTTTAACTTGCAAAAGAAAATAAGGGTTAGTTAGAGAACTTTGCACTTTTGAATTCATTCTTGAATTTATTAGATTCATTCAGGTCAATGGCACTTTGACACCCCCATCAAATTTCTTAAAACCATCCTGGATCTGTGTCTAAATATATATATAAATGCAAACATTCTCAGCAATTAACTGGACAGTACCGGGTAAATACAATGAGCTGGGAATTCACTGTGCTAACCTCTATTAGTGCTGAAGAGAGTTGTGTACTTAATTCCCTCTCACTGCTCTTAACTTTCAACTTCTCAGTGGGATCTATTCCAATGCATTTAATTTTAACACCCTGCCCCCACCCCTAGATGAGTTTTCTTACCTCAGTAATGAAGGATTTGGCTGTGGCAGGATTCATAATGAGGATGGCTCTCCTAAGAGTGTCTCGATAGCGATTCAGCTCCTCGATTCTCATGGTATCAAAGAGAGTGGTGATCATTTTATTGATGTTGTTTTCTACCTTTTGAAGTGCAACATCCATCCCCTGCTGAGATACTCTGTCCAGAAACTCCTGTATTCCACGGATATCTAGGAACAGCAAAATCCCATCACCGTGGCATTAGAGCGCAGAAGGGAGACAAGAACTGTTTCACTTATAGCAGAGTCGTTTACTGTTCAACATGGAAGGCTGGCTGACTAAAACCGCTAACCGGGTAGCAGGTGAAACTCTCAAATATGTTCAAGATTTAGCATGATTTACTGTGTTTAAGTAACAAATGTAGAGATTATTATTTTTAAAGTGAATTTCTTTTTCTTCACTGGACATTCTAAACTATCTCCCTGTGGAAAATGTTAGGTTAGGATCCTCTCACTTCCCTAACGCAGTTGTCAGGTAAGGAAAATACACTTGTGATTTTTCCTCAGCATTAAAGAAGTGATATCAACCTCTGGTAAAACATGAATAGCATTGATGAATGAATCGGAATCAAGATTGCTAACATTTATTAAAATAAGGCGACCATATCACTAAACTTGACATTTACCATCTGAATGGAAAGAGAGTTTTGAGGGGTTATCTTCAAAGGGTCGCAGGTCACTTAGACCACAAATAAAATAGCTTCATTTTTGTCTATTTTATGGGAATCACCTCCGTAGCTCAAATTTGGCAAACAGGGTAGGAGACAGTTTTCTTATCAGGAGTATAAGGATTATACTTTGTATATAAAACAAAATTTAACTAAATATTCACACACCCATTAAGGAAAAAATAAGTTCTGAAAGATTATTAGAAAAAAAAGTATGTCCAATTTACTTTTAAATAAAGAGGATAAAATCAAGTCTAAATAAAGTGTTTATAGATTTATTCCTGGATGTATATTCAAGTATCAATAAATGTCTGAAATGTTACGAATATTTCTTCCTAGTACCACATTGGCTGTTTATAGAAGGGATTTGAACATTGATAAGTATAATTGGAAAATATATGTTAGAATATAAACTTAATATAGCAGATTTGTTTTTACTATATAATAAATTACATGTTTTCTGCATATGTTCATGCCATACAATGTTTGTTTTTTTAAAATATATTTTATTGATTTTTTTACAGAGAGGAAGGGAGAGGGATAGAGAGCTAGAAACATCGATGAGAGAGAAACATTGATCAGCTGCCTCCTGCACACTCCCTACTGAGGATGTGCCTGCAACCAAGGTACATGCCCTTGATCGGAATTGAACCTAGGACCTTTCAGTCTGCAGGTCGACGCTCTATCCACTGAGCCAAACCAGTTAGGGCACCATACAATGTTTTAAAGAAGAAAAATAGTTAAGGATAAGAAGTAAATGGGGTTGTGGCATTGTCAATGGACTATGTAAAAATTCTTAATTGTACATGATTGCATGCATGCAAAATTTGTCTCTCAAGGGAAAGAATTAGTTCGTGTGTTTTTTAAACATTAACAATTAAAAGCAATATATGAACCTATAGAGCAAGACAACAAATAGTCACAAACTTTGAAATTGACATTTACTCATAACAAAATTTATACTTACAAGGTTACAAATTAATTTTAAAATTTTGCTTCCTTATTAGTTTTATTTCAAAATAATTACTGATATAGAATAGATAACTATATAAATACTACCTTATATTCCTTATTCCTAATTATATTATAAACCCAGGATGGCAGAATCATAGCAGCTTAAAAGAACAAAGCCTCATGTAGAGCAGAACAAGAGTTAAAAGAGTGGGGATAATAAATGTATTATGTGCTCACTAAATATCCAAGTCTGTAAGTACCTAGGGGGTAGGATACTCAGGAGTGGATTAGACAAAGGGTTAGATCGGATGCAATTTCACAGATGTGGTAGACACATGTAACAGGACTATGCACACTAAAGGAGACGTTCCCAAATGTTGGTGTGAATCAGAATCACTTGGAAATCTTATAAAAAGAAAGCCCCAAACCAATATGCCTTTAAAGTACATGTCCAGCAGATCTTTGATTTTGAATTTTAAGTTGTTGTTTCATTTCATTTTTTTTAGTTTGAATCACTTCTATGTGAATCTAAATATAAAAAGGGGACATCTGTAATACGTTTAACAGTAAAGATAAATTAAAAATAAGTAAATAGAAAACAAAATTAAAAAAACATTGAAATAAGTCAAGATGCTCAGAAAACACTGTGTGACCAGAGCATAGTCTCCAGAACCTGCATGTTCTAGGAAATGCCCTGTTCACAGAAACAATATATCAATGCAATTTCATATCTTAACTTTGATGCTCCAAAAATATTTATTGAATACGGGACAGGATGTTGTATACAAGGAATACAACAGTGAATACCCTTCTCCACACTTAGACAGACAATAAACAAGTAAAGAACAAATACATACAAACCACATCAGTGCTTGGAGGAAACAGGAAAGGTATTCTGGGAGATAATGCCAGGCAGGGAGGGGGATCTATTTTAGTTAGAATATTCAAGGGAAGTTCCTCTGGAAAACTGGTTTTTAAACTGTTCTAAAGGATGAGAAGACATTACCTAGACAGAGAGATAGGAAGTGAAGACACCAGTATGGAGAACATGCCTGAGGGCAGCAAAGTGCTAGTGTTTGAAGTTGAGGGATTCCAGTGTGGTGCAGCCCAGTCAGTAAGGAGGACAGAGGTAGGTGAAGCTCCTTGTAGAGTGTGGGTCACATTATGTGCCCCCTGATGAGACACACAGAGGTTTTGCTTTTATTCTAAATATGGTTTTTATCTATTGAAAAATTTAAGTAGAGGTTCTAAGTGGATGACAGGCTGTGTGTTCAGTATGAAAAGCAGTTTAAGTCTGCGAGTGACTTGTTAAGATAGTCTGATTCAAACAGAGTTTGTAAATGATATCCCCTTGATTTAAAACATTCTGACAGATTTTAGCTTTTATTTTTTAACAGAAGGTAAGTTTTATATGTATAGTTATTGGGCCAGAAAAGTGATGTGATAAAATATTGTTAGTATCCCTCTGCTTCCTTATTCTGGAATTATGGTTATCATTGCCTAATACATGTGATTCTAAAAAAATATTTTAAATCTCTTTTTTTGTCCTTTTTATGAGTTTATTGGGCTTACAGGGATTAAAAAGTATACAATTTTCAGGTGCACAATTCTACAACAGATCATCTGTGTACTGTATTGTGTGTTCACCACCCAAGTCAAGTCCCTATCACCATTCATCCCCCCTAGACCCTCCTCAATCTCCATTCACCCTCCAACCCCTGGCAATCACCATAGAATATTTCTGATCTCTAAGTAAAGAAATATTTATTTCATAGGTGTCTTATAAGATTAGATTAGTGAGGGCATGAGTGTGTACATGTGTATGCCTATCAATCACATGGCAGTTGCTATTATCCTATCTAATAAAAGAGAAACATGGTAATTAGCCGTACCTCCGCTACCCTTCCCATTGGCTAATCAGGGTGATATGCAAATTAACTGCCAGCCAAGATGGTGGCCAGCAGCCAAGCAGCTTGAAGCGAACATGAGGTTTGCTTGCTTCAGTGACGGAGGACTCCAACGTTCCCCGCCTGCCGCTGCTGGCCTCTGAGCTTGCAGTTTGAAACATTGTTACAAATATAGAAGCTAAACAAAACCCCAGAAACCTGCTTTCAGCCAGCTGGG